TCTTGTTGAACTTCATACAGTGCAGCTGGGGAAGTGAGTCCAAAGAAGGCCCACATCTCATCATATGGCATAGCATAAGGTGCCAGTAAGTTAGGATGAGCTCTGACAGTGATCTGGAGGCAGAGGCATGAGCTCCAGGTCCCAGCAGGGCCCTGCCTGGGATAGCAGTCCTAGATTACAGGATCAGAGCCATCAGGGTACTTTGGGGAGTGATGGTGCCTCTTGCTAGCTGTACTTGAATGCCAAACTAAAAGTGCAGTCATCTCTGGGTCCAAGACCCTTGCAGATACTAAAATTTGTGGATACTCAAGTCCCCTATATAAAATGGTATAGTATACTTTAAACCATCCCCCATACTTTAAATCATCTCTAGATTACTTAAAATTCCTGATGCAATGTAAATACAGTGTAAATAGTTGTTATATGTATTTTTTAGGGACTAATGACAAGGGGAAATTCTGTACTTGTTCAGAACAGACACAACCATTGTAAGTCTAACTAAACTTTCCATTCACATTTGGTTGAGTGTGTGGGCACAGAACTCATGGATACTAAAGGTCAACTACACAAGACTGAAGGAACAGGAAGCTCAGAACTAGGCTAACCCCCAACAAGCAAAGTGCTACCCCAACAGAAGGTGTCCTTGTGATACTCCTGTATTTGGGCTTTAGCTCCATGGGGTAGGGGCTCAGTCTAAGGAGGAACTGGGGCTAGAAGGCCAGGATGAGGCTCAGCGTGGGGCCAGGGCAGGAGCTGAGCTGGGGCCATCTGTGTCTGAGAACTAGGTTCAGCCTGCTTATAGGTCCAGACTCCCCCCTAGGACTGGAATCCCCACTGGTGGGTCTGGAGTTCTAGCCCTGGCCTCAGGGGATCCCTCATGGGAGGCCAACACTCTCAGGTATCTTTCCCAGGTTTAGCCCTGCTGGCCCACCTGACTGGTGCTCAGGAAGGCACATGTGGGGCCTTTTGGTTCCATGATGGGTCTAAGAGGAACCCAGGGCCATGGACTGCAGGCAATGGGCTGGTGGGGCCCCTGGGGACTGCCCAGGTCAGACTTACAGTCCACTTGCCCTCTGGTCCTAAAACATGAGTCAGTCAAGGTCCAGGGATTATGTGGCCATGCCCAGGAAGGCAGGTGGCCTGCTGAAGCATTTGAAGTTAAGGAGCCTGGAGAAGAAAAATCTGGGGGGGGGGGGTGGAAATGAAGGAAAACAATGCTTTGATGTCACTCAGATAAGGGTCAAGTCCCAGGTCTGCCACTGCCAGGCATTAGTGGCCTTAGGCTGTTAACTTCACCTCTCCAAGTGCAAGTTCACCCACTCAGGGTGTTATGAGGATTGGAGAGACCCCATGTTGGGAGCAGCAGCTTCTTCTAGGCCCCCGGATTCTAGAGCCTCTGTGTGCTCCTTCTCCTCCCCACCCCCTTTCAGTGCTTGCCTGAGCACCTTCCCACATCCTGGCTGCAAGGGCTCCACCCTCATTTATACCTGATGCCTGCTTACCATCTTGCCCCGACCAGCCTGGGATGCCCGCTCACTCGACTTTGCTGGTCAGGGCTCCTCATTGGCTATAATTGGTCCCAAAATAGCACTTCCTCTTATTGCTTCCTGCAGTCAGCCCATGGCTTAAGGTTTGTGAGGACAGAGGGAAACTTGGTGTTTGGCAGGCATGCAAAAGATGTGAAGGGCTCTCAGAGGTCAGCTGGGTCCTGAGAGGGGCAGGCACTTGCTTCAAGTCACACAGTGAGGAGAGGCCAGGGCTGGAGCTTGTGTTCAGGCTCCTGGACACCCACTCTTGCATCAAGCTCTCTTGATCTACAGACTAGTGTGTTGAGGCTGTTTTGGGGTGTGTGACAAGGACCAGCTAATCTAGCTTTCTTTTCTTGTACCAGGGATTGAACCCAAGGGTGCTTAACCACTGAGCCACATACCCAGCCTGTTTAGAGACAGGATCTTGCTAAATTGCTAAGATCAGCTTTGAATTTGGGATTCTCCTGCCTCAGCCTCTCAACCTGCTGGGATTACAGACATATCTAGCTTTCTGCCTGCCCTAGTATCTAAAGGTCATTTCCTGACTTTTCTGACCTTCTTGTCTGGACTCTCTTCCCTGTCCTCAAAGCTGCCTTATTGTGACAACTCAGGAAACCCCTGTTCCTCTCTGTGCATCATCTTCCCCCTAAGATAGATGGTCTAGCTAAAACCTATTCTGTCCCCTTGGCTCAAGGGAACACCTGGAGAAACCCCTTGAAATGATGGCCTTTGGCCCTTTCTCCCCTCTTCTTGGGTTAGGGCTCACTTGCCGGGGCTGCTGTAAGGAACATGAGCCAGAGACCTCATGAGTGACTAGATGGCTGCTCAGGCTGTCTCTCTTGCCCTCCAGCCATTACATGTGGCCACCTTTTCTCTCTTCCATGAGGCATAGAGACCTGAGCAGACACAAATCCAGATTCTAGCCCTTTGGAGCTGGGTGACCTTGAGGAAGCATTTAACCTCTCTGAACTTGTTTCCTCCTCTGGAGAAGGGCAATAATGGTACTAATCTCCTAGGACCATTGTGAGGATGAGATAGATGATCCAGACCCCTGGCTTGCAGCAAACAATAAATGGAAGCCGGGGTTATTGTTCTGTTGCATTTTCAAGACTTATAGTTGGCTGGATTTTCCATATTTAGTTCAACAATGATTTATTGAGCACCTACTGTGTGTTAAGCATTGCTGGAGGTGGAACAGAACAAGAAGTTCCATCTTGTTGAGTTCCCATCCTGGTTTCCCTTACCTTTTCCTCTTTCTCCTATACCAGGGACACCTCCTGCCAGCCTCCTGCACCCATCCCTGCCGAGTTAAAGTGTTTCCTCTTAAAAGTCAAACCAAGCCCCACTTTCTCCCACCAGCTGGCAAAGCAACCTTATGGTGTCTGAAGCCAGGAAGAGTAGAAGCAGAGCTTCTGAGGTCATGGAATGTTCTGCTTCTTGACCAGTGTGTGAGAACTTTTTTTTTAATATTTATTTTTTAGTTGTAGTTGGACACAATACCTTTATTTATTTTTATGTGGTGCTGAGGATCAAACCCAGGGCCTCACATGTGCTAGGTAAGCACTCTACTGCTGAGCCACAACCTCAGCCCCTGAGTGGGTGCACTTTAAGAATATTTGCCGAGCTGCCCACTACTTTTGGTACTTTCTTGTATAAATGCTGTACTCCATTGAAAGTCTCTATAAAAATACTGATCACTAGCTAGGTGTGGTGGCACACATCCACAATCCCAGCAACTCGAGAGGCTGAGGCAAGAGGATTGCAAGTTTGGGGTTAGCCTGGGTGACACAGTGCAACCCTATCTCAAAATAAAATAAAGGCCTGGGGGTGTGGCTCCGTGGTAGAGTGCCCCTGGGTTCAATCCCTGGTACCACAGAAAACACCAACCAATGAACCTTGATACCTGTGTCTCAGGTCCCTGGTTCTGACTTACTTTGTCTGGGATGAGTCCAACTCTGCACCTGGCCCCCAGCTGGATGATTATGTGCAGTCCAGGCTGAGAACCATCTAGAGAGTGAAGTCCTTGCTGGGTCTGGGGTCTGCTCCTCCAATATCTCCTTGCTCATAGCCGACTGGCTCAGGCTAAGAACTGACCAAGGGCCCTGGGCCCTGGAACGGAGCTAAGTACCACAGGTTAAGCCAGTTCCATGCTTCCTGGGTGCTTAGGCTGGGAAGACGGCTCCAATCTGGTCTTGGGTACCTAGTGCTATCTGGGGTCTTTGCTGAGGGGCATAAGTCCTGAGACAGCAGAAGCTGTGAAAGCTGCAGTTGACTAGTGGTATTGGAGAAACCAGAGGTCCTGATTTTATTTTATTATTATTATTTTTTTGTGTGAGCATTCTACCACTGAGTTATACCCCTAGTCCTTTTGATTTTTTGATACAGGATCTTTTAAGTTGCTTAGGCTGGCCTCAAATTTTTGATCCTCCTGCCTCAGCCTCCTACATAGCTGGGGTAACATGTATGTGCCACCAAGCCTGGCTTCAGGGATCCTGAGGTGGAGTTCCACTGTCTGCACCATGGTGACTTCCTATAGCTGTTTGCAGCTGGTTAATGTCTTCACCGGTAAGCACCCTTTACTTCAGAGGCAGAAGGAATCTCTTCCTTGTAATCCCAAAACTTATGTCCATGGGGCAATCAACACCATTTTACAGACAAGGAAATGTAATCTCAGGGGGCACAAACTGTCTAAAGTCCCACTGCTGCTTAGTGGCAAAGTCAAGATTCCAAACAGGGTCAAAGCCTATGATCCTTCTAATGTTTTATCATAAATTCTACATAAATGTTACCTTCTACTCCAAAATATATCTGTGCTTATTACAACCCTCTCAGCCCCAACAAAATGATGATGCTTCCTCAGTCCTGCAGATGTGCCAGGGTGTGAAGGCCTCTTTGTCCCTGCATGGGGTGGCCCTGTGTTGGTGGACCTTTGCATTCTTGTGTCTGATTTAATGACACAGCCCTTTAGAACAGAGTCAGACAGACTTCGATTCTACCCCTGCTTGGAGGCCTGGATTCACCTTGGCCTTGGTCAGGGTTCTCAGCCAGGAGGCTTTCCTGGAGAACATGGTTTCCTGAAGGAGCCCGGACACGCTCCCTAGTCCCTGGTTCTTTTGCCTGCAGTGTGTCAGCTCGATTCCCAAACTCCTTCCCAGACAGACTGACTCAGCAGCTCTTGATTGACACATAAGCCACACATGTGATGACTCCTTATATGCCCTGCCAGGGACTCCAACACGTGGCCCAGTTAGGAAGCACTGGACTCCCACAGCTTCTTCATTTTCCTGATGAGGAAACTGCTGCCCAGATAGTGGCAATGACTGGAAGCCTTGCGCCCCCTGCCCCCACTCTTATAGGCCTCTAAGGCCTCTTTTCTGCCCAAGGGAGGTCCTGTTATTAAGACCATGACTGGGGAGATAGGAGGCCACTATGGCCACCAATGGGAAGCAGTTGTTTGGTGTTTCTATTTATTGACTCTTTAAAATTTCATCATCCAAGGAAAGTTAATACATGACTGTTTGGTAGCAAGAAAAACATAATCTAAGACCACAATGACCCACCCGCCCTAAATAAAAACAAAACCAAACAGAACAAAAACAAACCCCATCTGAAACAAACCAGACCTTTGGAGTTGTAGCTGAAGCGAAGGACTGAGGGTCAGAGTGGCTCCCTGCAGCTTGGGAGGTGGGAGAGAGGCTGCCCTCAAGTGGGAGCCTTCCCAGTTGAAGAGGCCATGCCCAGCCCCTCAGCTTTGGGGGTCCTTCCTGCAGGGGCCATCTCTGGCAGGAAGGAGTGTGGAAAGAGGGATTCAGTGGTCAGAGTGAGGGGATCCTAGGCCCACACCCCAAGGTGACCATATGTGCCAGTGCATGAGACACAGGGAGGCAGGGGCTGGGGACCAGGGCCGACTGCAAGAAGTGAGGGCCCTTTTCTCTTACCTGAGAGGAAGCCTTGTCCAAGTCCCTACCAGTGCTCCAAAATGAAGACACCATTAAAGATGCCACCAGCACACTGGGAAATGCCAAAGCCTAGGGAGGCCCCTTGATGGTGTCATGCCCCCAGTGAGCCATCATCAAGCCATCACCTTGTTCTGCACGACTGAGGGCACTTGGTCCTGGCCTCTGATCAGGGTGGGAAGTCCCATCAGGATGGGCTTGGGAAGTTTATATTGAAGGCCAATGTTTTAGTGCCCTGAACATGCAGTGTGTATGTGTGTGTGTGTGTGTGTGTGTGTGTAATGGGGGGAGACGGTGGTCCCTCCAGAAAGGCTTGGTTTGTGTCCCAGGGTGGCGCCTTGGACAGGAACAGGTTTTCTCCCCCATCATTCATCACGTCACATCACACCCTGTCCCCAGTCACTGCATAAATAAGTGCTTTGGAAAGGACTCGTCTAAAAAGGAATATAAATACTGTACATGGGAAAGGGTGCTACCACTCAGCCTTCCCGCTGCCCCCAGAAAACCTTCCAAATATTGCACATGGCCCTCTCCAACCGCATAGGGTCCAGCCTGGCCGTGTCTTTGGTAGAAGCTCCAGGGACAGAGGTCCTAGGCAGCTTGCATGCCCCACCCTGGTCACACCTGGGAGCACCAGAGCAGCCAGTGGGTTGGGAAAGGCCGTGGCTAGCCAGCGGGTGTCCATCAGGAATGCTTCCRCAAAGATGAGACGGCGCAGCGCCACATAGGCACCTAGGTGGCCCTGTTTGGACACTCCTGGTCAAGGTCTGTGCGTGGGCTAGTAAGAGGCAAGCAGACTGAGGGCAGGTGGGCAGGTGAGTCCCGGGCCACAGTGGACAGGGTCACACCCTCCACAGAAGGAGGTGGTTTGTGCTGTCATCTCGGCCCACAGTCTCATTACTGCCACCACCCCCACTGCTGAGTCGGAAGTCCTCATAGCCGTCACCTCCACTAATGACCAGCATTTTAGGCCTGGCAGAGGCAGGGCCTCGGTGCCGAGGGGAGTCCCGGTGCTCCAGGGAGGGCAGCTTCTCAAGGCCTGTGGGGCAGAAGGGAGGATCATCAGCCTGAGGGAGCTGGGCTTCACTGTCCCCTCATGGCCTGAGTTTCCACATCCCGGAAGATAGCAAGAAAGACAAGCGCTGAGCTCTTACTTAGAAATACCCACTTCCTGGCAGCCTGTACTTTCTAGTCAGGACTAACTTAACTTACTAGCGCCACACCACTTTTTCTCTCTTGATGACTGCACACGTAACGTCCTCTTCATTATAATTAGTTATGTGCTGCATAACGAGGTCAACAACAGACTGCACATATGATGGTGGTCCCATAAGATGGCAATGGAACCGAGAATTCCAGTCGCCCAGTGACATCATAGCCAACTCAGTGCTCACGCATCTGTGGTGCTGCTGCTGTAGACCCTGGTACCGATAGATGTCCGAATGCACTGTACATACAGTTACGGACATGCATGGTACTGATAGTGAGAATACACAACTATGTTATTGGTTTATGTATTTTTTTTTCTTCTTCGTGGTGCCTGGGGTTGAACCCAAGGCCTCGACGCATGCTACGCAAGCAATCTTACACTGAGTGGCACCCTATATTTTCTATATTAAACTTTTTTTTTTTAATGTACTGGGGATTGAACCCAGGAATACTCTACCATGAGCTACGTTCCCACCCCTTTTTATTTTTTATTTTGAGACAGGGTCTTGCTAAGTTACTGAGGCTGGCCTTCAACTTTTAATCTTCCTGCCTTAGTCTCCCAAGTCTCTGGAATTACAGGCATGTGCCACTGTACCTGGTTTATACTAAATTGTTGTTTCAGAATGTATTTCCTACTACTTTTATTTTTTGAAAGCTTAYTGTAAACAGTATGCTGTTATGTTGACAGACCCTCATAATCTTATTCACTGCATCTCTCAATTGCATCATTTTTTCTTGTGCTTCATTTAATCTCATGTTGTGCTTTTCCTCGTGGCCCTAGGAGCAGCAGGCTCACCTGGGCACCTACCAATACAGCCCAGCTGCACAGGAGGCTGAGCCATCTAGTTTTATATAAGCATACTCTACCACGTTCCCACATACTCAATTAGTTGCCCACAATGCACTTCTCAGAACACATCCTACTGTTAAGGGAGGCACATCTGTATACAATGTTTCTATTTCCAACAGCCCCATCCCAGTTAAATGGCTAAATCTTCTCTGGCCCCAGACCACTCCTGACTGAGTCTTTATTGGTTCCTGATTCCCATGGTCACTGTCTTTTGGGAATACGGCTGCCTGATTGTGACTCTGTGATATACTTCATTTCCACTGTTTCACTCTCTAATTCTCACAGCCCACTTCCTGTCATATGCGCTATGCTGTGTTTTCTTTTCTGGCACTATTTCTACTTCCTTTTCTGTACATCACTTCCGAAGTCCACTTCCTGCCTTATAGATCAATTCTAGTCCTGTCTTATTTCCTGTTGTGGATAAGAAATACATACAACAGGATATATTTCCTACAAAGGTATCCCATCTGTGCTATATTCTACTTTTTTTTTTTTGGCTTCCAACTTGCAATCCTCCTGCTTCAGCCTCCTGAGTTGCTAGGATAATAGGTTTGTGCCACCATGCCCAGCTGCCATATTCTACTTCTTAGCTTATAATTCACCTCCTGTCTCCCACAACATTTATTTGGATAAAATTTTATGCATGCACCCAACAGACACACAATCTCCTAGTAGATTTCATTTTGGGGATTCCATAGCCTATTTCCTGTAATATATCCCACTTCCAGGTCAATTACACTTTTCCTCCCTCTTAAAGACTCTTTCAGCAGGGCAACAGGGCGATTGGGGCAACCAAGAACCCAGGATCCCTGGACGGCAAGCCCACCTGTGTCTGGAGGAGGTGGTGGGGTCGGGCAGAGCAGGTTGAAGCCATCTGGCAGCTGGACTGCAGCCAGGAAGCGAACGTGGCCGGTGTGGCCCTGGCCCAGGCCAGCAGGGCTGAGAGGTGCCCGTGGGCAGCTGACAGTACTGGGGGAGGTGGGCATGGTGAGCACAACGCCGGCACTGGTGCCCACCCACAGCAGCTCTTCGCACACTAGCAGTGCTGTGATCCGCAGGCAGGCAGCTTTGTGCTGCCGGATGATGGCATCTGAGCCTGGGGTGGGAAAAAGAGCAGCGCTGGGGCCTGACGCTGGCCCTGGCCCAGCCTCCTCGGGGACAGAGCAGGAAGACTCTGAAGAAGGAGCAGTGGTAGTCTGAGGTCAGTACCTGCCAGCATCCTGTGCACAGGTGGGGTGACGTCCACCTCTGCCAGCTGCTCAAAGGTGTCTGGGTGGTAGAGACACACATGGGCACTACCTTTCAATGTCACCCACACACCCAGGCTGGAGTCCACCATGCAAGCTACACTTCGACTTGAGTCCTGTCCCACGCAGAATGTGTGCTGTGAAAGAGGGGAGGGCAGGGAGYAGACAAGTGACTGGCAGGCCCGCCCCCATCCTCCAGCCTCACCAGTGTCCATCCCTCCCTCCCCATCACTCCCACAGACACCCACCCAATGGATCCTGCGTCTGGATGACTAACCTTCCAAAGCTCAGCTGCACTGGTGCCTCCCCACTCAATCCTCAGGAATTAAAATGGGATGCCCTTTCCCTGTGCAACTTAGTGGCCTGAGGATCAGAGAACTTCAACCCTTGGAGGGTTTAAGACCAGTCATTGGCCTCTCTCTGGACAAATGGCAAAGTCCAAGCACAGGAGGAAAAAGTGACCTGCCCAGTGTCGCACAGCTTGTCAGTCACAGAGCCAGGGCCCAACCTGGGTCTTAGCTTCCATTCCAGTCAATGACAGAAGCATGAGAGGAAAATCAAGGGAACGGGTGCCCCTGCACACCATCCAGGCTGGAAACCTCTGGCATATACAAAAAGACATCACAACCAAAGGGCATTGTCTATTGCTAAAGGATGATGACATCAGGAAGGACCCTTGTTCTAGCCCCCAATGAACCCAATAGCTGCACTCAGAGGGTGGACAGGAGGATGAATCAGGAATCCTGACAAAAATGGGCATTTACTATCTTCCTCATCATTTAGAGAAGAAACAAGGATCAGCAAAGGAAGGGCCTGGCCCAGTACCACACAGGGCAAGTATCCCAATCCTTCAGCTGGACACTTCTCTGTCCCCATGGTCTCATCTCCCTCTCATGTGGGCCCAGATCATCCCAAGTCACTGATTCTGTCTCCCTACTCCCACTACCTCTAGCTGCAACGTGTCAGGGCTCAGGACAAGGATTCGGTTCTGGCAGCCACACCATAGCCGTCCACCCACAGACACCATCTTGGTGATGGGGCTCCCCTGAGCACCTAGGGTCACCGATTTGAAGTTCTGGGCATCCCAGAAACGGCCTGGAATGGGAATGGGGTAAAGAAAGCAGGAAATTAAGTACAGTACTGAATTTAAGCCTCACCTACACTGGAACTGACAGGTGAATATCCCCATTTCTAAGCAAGGACACTGAGGCCCAGAGAAGCCTGAAAGTTGCCCCAGTCACATTTCCAGATCCTTGGCCTGAAAGCCCCCATTCTTCCCAAGAGACAGCTCTACCACCAGTATGCAGATGTGAGGGGACGGTGCAGGGGGCACTCACCTGCTTCCCTTTGGTAGACTACAAGTTCTCCATTGGCCAGAGACACAAACACCTGGTTATTTAGATACCTGGGCAAGGAAAATAAGGTGTCAGGAATTTCAGAAGGCCAAAGCATGTTACCTGGGACCAGGGGAATCACAGGTAGAATGGCTTTGGCTCCCAGGAGACCATCTCTTCTCACCCCCTGTTTTCCATGTGGGGGAAGCCTGAAGCTAAGAAGCAGAGACTTGCTCAAGTTCACATTGTATAAGAAGCACAGCTGGCCTAGGGCCAGGCTTCTGTCCTTCAGCCTCCTCGGAAGGGAGAGGCCAGTAGAGCAGGGAGTCAGGTGAACAGAGGAGGCTGCATGTATGGCTAAGAAGGGTCTGAGGAGAAGGACATCATGAGGCCTTACAGGATGCACGTCACAGAGGCCGTGTGCTGGAGCTTCATGCTGTTCCTGCGATCACGGATGCTGTCGGAGGACTGGTACACGTGGACACTGTGGATCGGGGTGACAAATGCTCAGGCATACTGACTCTGGGAGTCATCTCACCACCTCGGTGCCTCCACCCCCATCTCCCCAAGGTGCCTGTGCAAGGTACTAGATCCCACAGCCTCCCTGTGGGTTTCAGGCTCTCTGGCTGGTAGGACCTCTGAGGCCTGCCCCCAAACCCTCCTGTTTCTGCTTTGACACCATTTGATTTCCAGAGCAGGGAGCTCAAGGCTCTGGCACTGTGTCCCTGGCTCCATCCATGCCCCTACCAGCCATCCTCAGTGCCCAGCCACACAGAGCTCTGGTAGGCCTCAGGGTCCACGCTCAGCAGGTCCTCCAGGCTGCCCCGTGTGAAGGAGCCACGGCTGGAGCGGCGAAGGGCTCTCCCATCCATTGGACTGGTGCCACAGGGTCCACCAGGCCCAAAGGAGCCCGACAGTGGCAGGAAGCCAGGCTCCTGCTCTTCCTCTGAGCTGGTCGTCTCTGCTGTGGCCTCCTTGGAGCTTGGGGTCTCCTCATCTGAGGGAGACAAAGGTCTCTGTCTCCATTCCCCTCCACTGGGCCTTAGTCCCCCTCAGGCATCTGTCCTGGCCATCCCCCCTCCTGAGGGCCTTTGGCAGCTGCTCCTTCCCAGTCCCTTGGCCTCTGCATCTGCTCAGGCCTGTTACCCTGCTCACTGAGAGTTCAGGCTATAGCCTCTTAGTCCTAGCCTGGCCATTTCAGATCCAGCCACCACACTTTGCACGGAGGGACTTGTCACTCCACCTGGTGTCTGCCTTCCTTAACAGGACATGCCAGGGTCTTCAAGATTTCATCCGTCTGTCCCACTGACCTCTGTGTCCTCAATATAACAGCTCCCACTCACCCTGCTGGCCCCCACTGCTCTGTATGCTAACATCCTAAGATGTGATTCCAGTCTTTGCTTCCACTAGTCCCTCAGCAACCCCCGCTCAGGGCAGTCCACTCTGCCAGCCCCAAAGTGGGATACTCACTGCCAAAGCTGGAGGAGATGGTGGACCGGCTAGCCTGGCTCTGCAGAGTCCCAGAGGGGCTGGGAGAAGATTCATCATCGGAATCACTGTCAAAGGGCACCAGCTCAGGGCGAGGGTCACCCTCGGCTGGCCCTGGTGCCATCTCCAGACCAGAGCCTGAGATAGAGATGTGCAGGCAGGGTTGGGGCCCCGGCTCTGCTAGCATGGTTGTTTCCTCATCCGCGGGGGCCTCTATGTCCAGCTCTGGTCCAGAGGGTTCCGAGGCTGGCTCAGTGGGACCCCTCAGTGAGGTGGACTGCTCCCTGCCAACAAAAATCACTAAGGAGGTGCGGCCTGGCCCACCAGTCCTAATACACCCACTGGGCCCCGCCCACATCATCATCAGTGGCGGCCTCAGTGAGTGCAGGGTCCATCTCCCAGGCATGCTCACCCCGCCGACTGGGCCTCACCGGTGGCAGCAACGCTGCAGGCCGGGCACTGAACCGATGCACAGGATGCGGGCCGAGCAGACAGCGATGCAGGCCTCCACGTCTGGCTCAGCACGCAGGCTCAGCAGGCACACCTGACCCACATAGCCGTCGCTGTTGCACACCCACACCTCTGGCATGGGCTCTGGGCAGCTGCTGAGGGTGGGGGCTGCGCAGGAAAACTGCAGAAGGTGCCAATGGACAGCAAAAGGTGAATGGAAGAAAAACTGTCAGCATCCTGATCTCCCAGAGACCCCAGCAGAATGGAGGGAGGCAGGCCTGCATGGGTGTGTGTGGATTCGTCACATCCCTTTACACCCTTCTCTACACACGACACACATGCACACGTGACACTCTTTGCACATCAAATGCATTCATACCTGTGTGATATAGGTATCAACCATACATGCATGTACACACACACCCTGAATGTGATCATGGATACATACATGTAAGAGTGTGATAATGGTAACCTTTGTACATATGTATGTAGGGTCATGTGAGGGCATAAATTAGATTCCACTCACATCAATTGTATAGCTTCTTTCACATGAACAGATACAGATATGCATGAAACATACCCATGCACATGTGCTACAGATGTGCATTATCCATATACATGTACAGAGAACTATGTACTCAAAGTCACAGGAAGCAATTGCAGTGTTTAACACACAATGCAATGCTGCACACCAAACAAGGATTCATGAACACATGCTGGCTTTGGACATGTACAGCTACGTGACTCACATGCGTACACACACCTGCATGCCGCTGCGGGTTTTCATGATGGGGATGGCTTTCAGGAACTCAGGATCTAGACAGCTTTTGCTGGATGCTGTAGTAGAGATGGATGGAAAGACAGACAAGGGGACAGGACAGAGGGAGACAGACCCTGCTTAGTACATGCAAAGTACTCCCTTTCTTGCCACTGTCCCATTTCCCTTCCCTCTCTGCCCCTCAGGGTCTAAGGAGGGCCTGATCTCAACCATGCTAAGAGGGTCTGTGGGTTATGCCCTGCTTGTCTCTGGCCTCAGTTYTCCCATATATACAATGAAGGTGCTTGGCTCACAGGCCTCTAGGCTAATGGGCCCTGACCATAGCTTTCCTTGATCCATGCTCAGAATTGGGGAGGATATGAGGAGGGTCTTGACCATTCATACCCATGATRGGGCCTGTGTTCTAAGCTGACCTTGTCTATGCCTCTCCTTGCCAGGAATTCAATCTGGTCCTGAAGTTTCAGCACCCCCACCCATCTCCTTTATCCCCGCCAATTGGACACCCAGCACAGGACACAGCAGTTCTGGAATTTCTGGCTGTGAAGTCAGACACTTCCTGGATGATCTGAGAAGAGAGGGCCATGTGGGACCTAGCTCACCTAGCTTCCTCTTGGCCTCATCAAAGGCCTGCTCAAAGCCCAGGCGGGCATCAGGGTGAGGAAACTCAAAGATGAAGGAGTCTGTGCCCTCAGGCCGGGTGGCACACAGTTCCAGCTTGGTGGGGGGGAAGGAAAGTGCGTAGCACAATGCCTGCTTCTCTGACAGGTCCCTGTGCATGGCGGCTGAGAGATCCCGCAGCGCATCGTCCAGGCTCTGTGGGGAAGAAGGCCCAGGTCCCAGATCTCAGGCCTCACCAGAGTCAACACATGCCCTTGGGAGTGTGTATAGGGACCTGCCTCTCCCCATTCCTCCCTTCCCCTCCCCTCAGACCAAGAGAAGTCAGGATTCTCCCCCTACCGCCCCACCCCAAGCAGGAGATAGACCCTCTCTCCCTGGATGGGATGAAGCCACGTCTCCACCTTCAGACTTGAAACATGTTACTTCCCTCAAATTCAAGTGAGGCTGTAATTTTCCCTCTCAGATAAGTGATGGGGTATTTCCTCCCTCTGGCAAATGCCAGGCCTGTGTGTATGTTTCCCCAGGGTCAGAAAACCCCACCCTTGGGCAGAGGGCACAGACCTGGTGGGGGAAGCTCAGGTTGTCAGAAAGCTTGCTCATCTGGCCCAGGGTGGTCAGGTCCTCATCCAGGCGGCTGATGGCCTTCTGGATATTCTCCCGATTGGTGGCTTGGGATGCCCCTGGACATCCAAAGGGAATAGAGGAAGGCCATAGACAGAGAGAGATTGACAAGGTCAGGCCTGGATAGACACTCTTCCTTCCATACATAACTTCAGCTGGGTGGACGACTGGCCTGACAAACTCAAGAGCTTACAGACCCCAAAGTCTCAGGAATAAAGTTAACAGGCAACTCCCAGAGAACATCAGGCCTGAGAGCTGGGGACTGGGGTTCACAGTCACAGAGCATAGGATGTCAGGCCCTTGCAGAACTTGCCAGAAGAATATAAGTATGAAATGGCAGATAGCTTTACAAGTTACACCGGCTCCAGTGGACACTGGACTGTGGCAGTGGCACAGCCTGCCATGGGGGAACTGCCAAGTAGGCAGAGCCTCAGGCCTTCAAATCTGCTGACCAAGGGACTCGCCACTTCACAAGGGAGAGAGCAATGAGCTGATGCCCTGATTTCTCTGGTCCTATCCCACACCTGACCACTGCCAAGTGGCTGGTCCTACAGACCAGCTCAGCAGCCCCCTCCTCCCTCCCCACTGTCTGTCTGGGGGCGCGGTGTGTGTGCACTCTGAATCACACATGGGGCTGACCCTCCTCCACCCTTGGGCCAGGACACCAAGTCTTGAAATCAAGGGACAGGAAGTTTCTTTCTTTTTGCTTTTTCCTAAATGACAGGTCTTTCCTGATTTTTCCTGTTCTGTTTATAGAATGTGTTGGTGGAGTATATAGTTTAGTTGGGTCACAGGTTGCAGAATGGCAAGAAAGAAGACTTGACTGGGGTCCTAATAGCACCAGAGGAAGAACAGATTCCGAGATGGGCAAATCACTCTGGAATGGCTCTGTCCCAGGGACTCTTCAAGGCTGAGGAGGTCAATGGTAGGGTGGAATCGTGTTGGCTAGGGAGGCTGTAAAGCTCAGTCTACAGAAAGCAGGGTGTGTGCTCAGCAGCAAGGTATGCCAGAAGAGCTCTGCTATGGTCTGAATGTTCATCTCTCTCTGAAATTTGAATGTTGAAATCTAATCCCCAGTGTGTTGACAGAAGGCAGGGCCTCAGGGAGGTGACAAGGTCATAGGAATGATACCCTGATGAATGGGATTAGTGCCCTTATAAAGAGTTCTGGGAAAAATTGGGTATGGTGGCACATGTTTACAATCCCAGCAACTTGGACTTGGAAGTCCAAGTCCAGACTTCAGAGTCTGAGGCAGGAGGACAGAAAGTTCAAGGCCAGTCTCAGAAACTTAGCAAGACTCTATTTCAAAATAAAAAATAAAAAGGTATGGGGAAGTGACTCAGTGGTAGAGCACCCCTGGGTCCAATCCCCAGCACCAAAAAAAAAAAAAAAAAAAAAAGTTCTGGGAGAGCTTGTTTGCCCTTTAGCCATGTAAGAACACATATGAGAATATGTCCCTCAGACACCAGGTCAGCTGGCATCTTGATCTTGGACTTTCCAGTCACCAGAATTATGATCAATAAATTCATTCATTATAAATTATCCAAGTCTTGGTATTTTTGTTACAGAAGCCCACAAAGACCAAGACAATCTCTTAGTCCTTCTGAGAGAAACAGTCTCACCCCAATCCTCACTGCCTGGGCAGCCATATTTTCTTCTATATGGCCTGGCCCACTCCTGGCCACAGATGAATGGACTAGGAGTGGGCAGCTGACCTAAAGGTATCATTACATGAGCTGGCCTATTCTCTAGTGAAGAGATGCGGCAGACCAATAATCATCCTCACCACAGTTTGCATTCCTACATAGGGGCCCTTGGGGGACAGGCCTGGGTCACTTGGTGCCTGGATACAGTCTGGGCTTCATCACTAGAGCTACAAGGAAGCACAGAAGGCTAAGTGCAGTGAGAATGGGGTCCACTCACAGCATGAGGAGAAGAGTCAGGAAGGGTGGCCCCTTGGGGCTGCCTTAGCTCCAGATAGGTTCAGCCCCAAACCAACTGGATCTTTCCAATCAACTCTTTGCTTGGACTCTGTTCCCTGGGTGGAACACTGCTGAGCCTGAATGATGCCTCGCCTAATATTTGGCACCCAAATGAGTTTGTACAGAGGAATCAATGGCTAATTATAGCTATGTCTCCTTCCCCTGCAACAGCCCACCCAGCCCCACCTGCCAGCCCTGGTCCTGTTCATCAGAAGGTGGTCTGAATGGACAGGATGGTCTGACTCTATGAACGTCAACCTAGTTCTTCATGCCAGCTCCCTCACATGGGATGGGAAAATGAGGTTGAAAGCAGATAGACAAGCAGCCCAACTGGCCATAGCTCAAACCCACCAGGAGGCTTCTCAGAGGAAGACTCCAATACCAGGAGCCCCTGGCAGGCCTGGGCTAGCCCCACCTTTGATGATGTCTGCATCTTCCAGAGGCAGCTTCCACAGCATCTTGTACTTGCTAGCAGTGTCAATAACGCTGGCTGCTGTGTACCTGTGGGGAGCCAGCGGGGTGGTCTGGCCAGGGTAGGGGAGCAAGGCCCAGGGCAGGACAAGGGCTTCCCCTGCTTGCACCAAACAGCCCCATCCCCAGCCACTCACAGGCTCATGGAGCTGCGCCGCAGGGAGCCCGACTTTCGCTTCAGGGTGGTGCAGACTATGAGGTCTGTGAACAGGAAGAGGGACCGGTCCTTCTTGCCACCAATTGCCTTCTGTGGGGCCAGAGGCAGGGTTCAGGCTGTGTGCACACAGTCCAGAAGCCCACCGCCTGCCCATAGTGCTCAAGGGGACAATGAGGCCCAGGGAGGGGTGACAGCTCTCCACCAGAAGTCCAGAGAGTCAGAGCAGAGTAGGGACTTGACCAGGCCTCCTGCTGGGGTGGAAGAGCAGGGAGACCCATGGGCAGTAGGTAAGAAAAAGAGTAAACTCAGTGGAGAGGTAATGACAGGTGGGCAGACAACAGGTCACTTCTTACCACTTCAATGACCATCTCCTGCCTCAGGAACCGCCGAAGAGGAGCCTGGAGCTGTGGGGTAGGATGGACGTGGCATCTTAAAGGCTAGTTATTAATCCCTCTCCTCTAAACAAATCCCAGTGATCCTGCAGCCCCACTCCATGGGCCAGGCTGCCAGGCCCAGGACACATGGTCAGACAGACAGGCAGAGCTATTTGATCACAGATGCCGGGAGACATGGATGTAAGCACACTGAAGATTCCAATGTGGATGTGGACACAGCCATGATTCCAAGTGACAGGAAGAACACAGGCTAAGTGGACATAGTTGGGTGGGGTGGGGGCGGGTGGCACTCACATCCTCCATGCCCTCGATGTGAGCCTCGATTTCCTGCAGCACCCGGGCATGCCGCTCTGCCTCCTCAGCACTCCGCACGCCCTTGTTAATGCGTTCAGCCACCTGCTTGATGTTCCGCTGTGCATCCAGCAGAAGTGGGTGGTCTGGGTGGTCTTCTGGTGTGTGCTTCAGGAGGTCCTAGGATGAGAATGAGGACCAGACCTGTTTGTTTAACTGCCCTCAGGCCCAGCAGACTGCTGGAGCAGGAGGGTCTATTGGTAGGTATCAGGGAGGACTTGTACCCTATTTGACCCCTGGGGACCTTGATGCCAGATTCAAGCAAGAAGGGTCCTCAAAGTCCACTGAATCTCCTCCATGCCTCCAGGCCTTGCCTCCCTGCCCACTCAGCCTCATGCCCACCTTCACCAGCAGCTCATAGCGTGGGATCCGTTGCACGGGCTTGATCATGAGGTCAGATAGCGCCTGCTTCTCCTTGTTCTCACGCATGCTTTGCTGAAACCCAAAGCAGGGTGAATGGGCACCAATGTGAGGAGCGACACGCCAGGAAAGGTTTATCCAGGGCAGGCTCCCATCAAGCCCCTTCAGCTCAGCCCAAGGACAGAGGCAGACCCACTGGTCAGCCTAACTGCCCAAGCAGAGTGCTCCTGGGGCCCTCGGAGCTGGCCCGAGGTGAGGGTGGCCTCCACTCCCCTGCCCTTGCCTGCGGTAAATACCTCTAGGAACTTGAGAAAGGCGGGCCTTGCTTCCTTTGCCACACGCACGGCGTCCTTTGCATTGAGGAAATTATCAATATAGGCAGAATAGATGTTTACCAGGACATCTTTGGAGAACTGTGGGTAAGGAGACAGGTTGGGGACCCTCAGGGTGTCTTGATGGGATAAGGCGTGTGTGTGTGTGTGTGTGTGTGTGTGTGTGTGTGTAGTTGTAGATGGACACAATATCCTTATTTTACTTATTTATTTTTATGTGGTGCTGAGGATGGAACCCAGTGCCTCACATGTGGTAGGCAAGTGCTCTACCACTGAGCCAGGACCCCAGCCTCAGGCATGTGTTTTTGTTTGTGTTCCTAGGTATGTATAAGGAGTATGTACAATTGTGACTAGTTATGTACATGTGCGCACATACATATATGCATGGATGTATCTTACCTGTATAAGCTCATGCGTGAATATATGAATGTGTGCCTGGATTTGTCCTGTGTGCTCAGACCTGGTTATCTGTCTGGTTATCTGGCATTTCTGTCCCCAGCTCTCTGATCCCCCAAGTCCCACCAGGCAGGTCTCCATCCTCACCGACCTCAGATGAACAGACTCATTCTAGCCTCTGGACTTTGCTCATGCAGTTCCCTTCACCATCCAGATCTCGCCCACCCTCAGGGCTGAGCTCCTGATTAGGGTTCTATCTTCTCGGGTGTGTCTCTGGTTTCTCCTCATACCCCCAGGACAAGTTCTCTCTTTCCAGAGACAGAAGTACTCCTTTCTTAGTCACAGTAATGCCTGACTCAGGGCAGGGCACATGGCAGCTGGTGGCTAATACCTGCTGGCTAGCTGATGGCAGGCTAAGTATGGATGCTCTCATCAGAAGCCTTGGCTAGGAGTGAGGACACTTGGGTTCCTTGTCTCAACTGTGCCATGGATAGGCTAAGTGACTTTTAGTGGTGTTTCAGGGCCCCTTTGGGCCTCTGAGTCCATGCCTCCTTAAGGTGTCAACTCTCTGTCTCTGGGCAAGACAGGGCAGAGCCTGAAGCAGAAAGACAGCCCTCACCAACCAGCTCCTGGGTGAACCTAAACCTGAAAGTGCCAAATCTCAGAGAGTGGCCAGACTCTGGTATGGACTCCAGCTCCAACCAGTGGCTGGCACTGATCTAACCCTAGTCCTGACCCTGAGCTGGTGTTGATGCTGACTCAGATCTCACTAGGATGCCGGTACTGACTTCAGTCCCTCACGTGGATGCTGGTACTGACCTCAACCCCTATCTTTACCTGGACCCAAACAACTGCCCTGACCCTCATGTGGGCTTTGATGTTGACACGACCTCATCCTGACCAGCTCTTTTTTCTATCAGGTATGTGTATTTATTTTATTGATTGAAGTCTTGAGGATTGAACCCAAGGCCCTATACATACTAGGCAAGTGCTCTATTTCTGAGCTACATTCCCAGCCCACCATCAGGTATTACAATAATTGTAGCTAGCTCTTTGCACTTATTGTTTGCTGGGCATTATTCTAAATACGTTATATGTATCAACAACCCTGTGAGGTAGGTACAGTAATTACATTCATTTTAAAGTTGATGAATATAAGCCAGGCGTGACAGCACATGCCTGTAATCCCAGCTTCTTAGGAGACCAAGGCAAAAATTCTGCTTCCAAAAATTTTACAAATAGAAAAAAAAATCATATCTACTTTGGAATGTGAATGTCATTTAATATGCTCATTATGATGTGAAATAGAGCCTTGAACCTAAAAGAATCTTAAAATGTCTCTACTAGTCTACAAACTGATCTGGCCAGATAAGGTGACAGACCCTAGCTTGGACTGAGTACTGATGCTTTCACCCACCATCACCTTCAGTGTCACTAGGTGTGGCCACCTGCTTGGACCTTGATGCTGACCTTGAACTATAGCAGGAATCCCTGGGCCCCCAAGGGGGTCAGCCCAGGATACTGTCCTGGGATAGGGATCAGAGTCAGTGTCCATACAGGGTGGGTAGGATGGGGGGCACCTGGCAGCACACAGGGCACTCACCGATTGGACGAGCAAGGCCCCCACCTTCTGCTGGGCATGCCAGGTCTGCACACAGTGCCGCACCTGCTCCAGGAACTGTTCGTGGTGCTCCAGGAGCTCGGGGATCTGGTCAAAGATCTCGTCCACCAGTGATGGGTCACACAGCAAGGAGTTCTCTGGCTGCTTTAGCGGCTGCATGTAGCCCTGGGGGACCCACAGAGTCAAGGCATGTTCCTGCAGAGATGGCACCCCACACCACCTGCACAAGTACCAGGATGAGTGCACACAGAATCCTCTGGGCCTATGGCTCAGTGCCTTGCCTCCCACACCCCCGCTCATAGACTAGGAACTCCAGAGGGTAGGCAGACCTATCCCCATGCCTGCCCTCCTGCCCAGTCTTGGACCTGACACAAGATGGGATAAGGAGGATCAGGAAAGGTTTTCTGGATGCATGGACCTTAGAATAAGAAAGCCAAGAAGATTAGGGCTCTCTGGGAGAACCCCACACACTAACTCAGCAAATATTGAGCACTGAGTATGTGCTAGGCACTGTTCCAGAAATTGGGAGACAGCAATGGACAAGAAAGACCCAAATCCCTGACCTGACAGAGCTTACATGCAATCAGATAAAACACACCAAGAAAAGGAATAGGAAAAAARTAAGTCATATTTCAATAAATCTACTTATCTTTAGGAAAAAAATTTTCTGCCAGTTAAATTTATGATATGCTATCAATGCATATCCAGAGATGTTAAAATATGAATACCCCAGGTCCTAAAATCAATTGCATGTGTAATCACAAGAAGTTAAAAGGTGATATTTCTGTGCAGAAAGCAAAGCAGAAAAAAACAGAACCCCTGTCCCCCAGGGGGGGAGTTCCTGGAGGCTTAAGTGACATTATCTGAACACTGTTTTAACAGGTTTCAGATCTGCTGGTCAGTCAGTGAGTAAAATTCCTGTTTTTCACCTCAACTATGCTTCAGTAGTGTTGCCAGAATATGTAGCTCAGCTCTGATGGAGAGGTTGCCCTCTACTGGCCCATACTGTAACTACAGGCCAAAGAAACAGGAGGGTGTTACTTGAAAAAGCATATGCTATGTTGCAATAACATTTATATTAAACATTTTTTAAAAATCTGGCTTGTTTTGTAAAACAAACTTGAGAAAGTCAAGCGCAACAGAATCCTCTTGACTGCCTGGGGATTCTGAAAAAGCTCACGGTGATGGAGAGGAGGCAGACAGGCAGCACCCCCGTCAGAGCTCTTTGGTCGGTGTGAGCCAGCACCTCCCCTGGGTCAGGATCACTGCCCTCCAAGGAACAGAAGCTATATTGCGCAGCTCTGGGTCCCAGAACCCCACAGAGAGGCAGGCACACAATGGGAGAAAAGAATAAACAGACTGAGAAGCCCACCCAGAACCAGCGGGTCAACATCCACATTCACTCAACAAATGCCCCTGGGCCACTACGGTAGGGGGAGAGGGGCTGCAGAACCCTGCAGGGGAGCTGACAGCTGAGGGAGGGGAGCAGAGAATCGAACTGTTACATAATATGCCAGAAGGGAGTAAATGCTCCTGAAAAAAAGAGTAGAGCAGAAGGGGTCAAGGGTGCCTGGAAAGGGGAAGCTTGGTCAGAGCACTCGGGAAGGGGCATTTCTTAGCTGAGAGTCTTGGGGTTGAAGACAGGCTCTGAGGGTGACAGTGACACGCAGAAGAAGGTGCAGCCCTAGGACCTGGCTCAAATCCCACCTTCTGGCTGCTCACCTGGGTACTTAACTTCTTTATTTTAAACTCCTGTCCTAGAGAAACAATACTAATCTATTTTTGTTGGCAGTTGTCACTGGGAGTTTGCACCGGGGCTGCAAAGTCCAAATCTCTATTTGAATATCATTATGCTTCAGCTAGTATAGACGGGTGAATGAGAGTGGGGACTGAGAGTCAGACTGACAGGGTTTCTTCTCTGGCTAGGGCACTTCCTAACTGTAACCTTGATACACTGCTTTGCTTCTCTGTGCCTCATCTTCATCTGTAAAATGGAGGTTATGGTGAGGGTGGTATTAATTACCTCACGTAAACTGCTGGGATCAGTGCCTGGCCCTCAATGAGCATCAGAAGTTACACCTGGCACATTTTGGAACGTCTGAGGCTTCATTTCTTCATTTGAAGACGGGGATCACCATCTCTACCCAAAAGGTAACGTGAAGACTTGGGGCAACCTTGCACGGGCACATATGAACACAGGCAGAGCTACAGGCAGTTTTGAAATCACAAGCACACATGGTGGCAGCCACCACTTCCATCCCTGCTCTATAGCGGGGCAACTGAAGTAAGTGGTCATATCAGATGTTCCAGGTCACACAGGTACAGGCCAACAGGTGCAGGCAAGTTTGTGCACTGGAGCTGCACTCCAAACTCCTGGTGCCACCTCAGTCCTCCTTCCCACATTCCAGGGCTGCCACTGCCAGTCTTTGGGTCCAGGTGATACCTTCCTGCCCAGCTCCACCCCCACCCCCCCACTTTCAGCTTGGCCATCTCCAACACACATCCTGCATGCTCTCTACCTGTGCGGCCCTGAGCTTGCCCTGGAGGTGGGAAGACTCTCCGGGCCCTGCCTGCTCCCAGCTCTTTCCTGCACCTGCCTCTATCCACCAGTGGGCTTGAGTGTAACATTATCTTTTAACCTTTGTGCTGGGAGGTGGGAATGACTGGCTGCATTCTGTAGGCAAAATCAAAGCTCAGAGAGGGGATGTAATTAAGCCAGGTCATCCAGCAGCGGGCAAGTGACTCAAACCCTGGACTGTCTGACTCTATACTCTCCAACTCTTACCTACAGGATGGCAAAGGACCCTCGCAGTTCCTTGAACATCAACACTTCTGCCTGGCAATCTGATGGGTCCCTCCTATGGCTTTCTTGTGCTTACAGGAGAGCCCAGTCCTTGAGCAGCAGCCCACAGCCCCCACATGGCCTAGTCCTGTCTCCTTGCCAGCAGTCACACTGGTTTCTTCTGATTTCTTCACTGTACCCTTCGCTCCTGCTATACCCTCTGCCTGGAACCATCCCCCAGGGTCCCTCTCTGCTGAAATACTACTCACCTTTGTGTCTCTGCTAAACACCCCAAGCTCAGAAAAGCCTTCCCTGACCCCCCACAGGAAGGCAGACCCCATTCTGTATTCTATCTTTGTGCACTTTTAAAAAACAATTTTAGTTGCAGATGGACACAATACCTTTATTTTATTTATTTATTTTTATGAGGTGCTGAGGGTCAAACCCAGGGCCTCACACATGCTAGGCAAGCACTCTACCACTGAGCCCCAGCCTCAGCCCCTGTGCACATTTAAAAATAAACAAATAAATAAATAAAAGCAATGTATTTCTGTGGCAAAATACACATAATAGAAAATTTACATGTTGTGTAAACATTACCACTACCCATCTCCATAACCTCTGATCTTCCCTAACCAAAATTCTGTACCCACCAAACACTAAGTCCAAACTCCCTCCTTCCCTAGGCCCTGGAAACCACAATTCCACTTTCTGTCCCTAAGAAACTGACTACTCCAGGTACAGAAGTGGAATCACACAGTATCTGTCCTTTTGTGACTGGCTCACCTCGCTTAGCATACTGTCTCAAGGCACCTCTGTGTTGTAGCCTGTGTCAGAAGTTCCTTCCTTTCCAGGCTAAGAAATATCCATTGTATATGTATGTGCTCTCATAAACTTTTGTATCACCACATCTCATCATGTGTGATTTGTCTGGCTGGTGACTGCTGGTCTCTGCCATAGACCATGAACTCCAGAACACAGGTCCATATCACTTGTGCTCATTGCTGAATTGCACCCCTCCCACTCCTGGCTGAAGAACACAGTGTTTGGTGCAAGAAGGAGCTCGCTGAAGATTTACAGAATGAATGAGTGAACAAACACTGCGGATATTTCCAGGGCTCCACCTTCCCCCTCTCTTCCTATCTGCCTGGGTGGCCTGAGCAAATTTATCCTTTATGTGACAGCAGGCCCCACTTCAGCACGTGCAGCCAGGCTCTGGGTCTCCCCAGACTCCACACGTCTAAACCTCCACTCACCATCCTGCCCCAGATGCATCCCTCTCCTGTGCCCTACCTTTCCCAGGCCAGGAACTCTGGCACAATGCTGGGCTCCCCTTCCTCTCCCCCTCGATCTCTGGCCTGATCAATGGACCTTCTAAGTGTTTGGCCCCAGCTCTCCTCCTTGCAGCCTCTGCCTCTCAGTGGCCCTGATCCTCTCCTGCCACTCACCTCCCTGACAGTCAGACAGACTTCAGAAAGCATGACTCAGGGCAGGAGCTTGGCCTGCTCAAGCCCTTCACTGATTCTCTAGGGCCTCTGGTGGAGTCCAGACCCTCCTCCTGGTGTTCAAGGCCACCACAGTGTGGCTCCTGTGGGCTTTCACAGCCTCACCATAGAACCAACCCCTGATGTTCTGTGCTACCACGAAGGCCTCTGAAGGCACAGGGCCCTTTCGGACATGACTTTATACGTGCTGTCCCTGCTACTGAGAAGTCTGTCCCTCCTCCAGGGATTCTTCCCTGACTCCACAAGGGGCAGGTGTCCTCCCTGCTTTTAGGATGCCCCATAAACTCAGGTATTGTCCCTCAGGGCTTTGAGGCAGGGCTCATCTCACTTGTTCTGGTGCCTCCTGAACCTGGAGCAGTGCCTGAGCCAGCAGGTGCCCAACATTTAATTCCACTCAAAGAATATTTTCCCAATCAATTACAAAAACAGAGGGGGCACACCAGTGGGGGTACACGGCTCTGAGCTCAAGTCCAGGGCTGTTGGGGGAATGTGTGGTGGGACTCTTGCCCTGGGGTGGCCTGGTCTGACCCCTCTCCATTCTCTTCTGCCCTGGAAGGGACTTCCTCCTCCTCTGGGGCCGCCACATCCAGAGCTCCCCATGGAAGGGTGGTGTGTCTCAGGGTCACAGCTCTCTGGCCTAGGCCCCTTGTCCTTGGCATGAGTTTGCTCCCACCTGTCTGAGGCCCCCCAGCCTCAGAAGGCTGCCCTCGGGGACTGCACTGTGGATCTCACCTGCATCAGGGTGCGCAGTGACTCCACATATGACTGCTCTGTGTCCAGCAGGGTCATAGTCACGTGCTTCCGCATGTCCTGTGGGGACAGGAGCAAAGTGTGAGCAGTGCCTTGTTCCCTTCAGACCCCATCACCTGCAACCACGTGCAGGTTCACCTGTAGCCCGAGACAATACTCCACACCCTCTCCCTGGCCTTCAAGGCCTGCCCACCCCAGTGGGGYTCTAGGCTGTTTTCCAAAGCATCTTGGATCCCACTCTGTCAGGCCTTTGCTCAGGTGCTTGTCCTGTGGGAATTTCAAATGCAACCCTTCCCAGAGTTAGGTGACACTCTCCACCCCCACCCCATCCCCCCACTGCAGCTGTGGGCAGATTTGAGACCTTTGATTTACTTCTTGGTTCCCTGATGGGCTCTTGAAAAGGACAAAAATATAAAAAGAAAAAAATCCATAAGTTTTCACATTTGCAAGAAAGATGCCTCTAGGCTCCCACCCACTCCAGCTGCCAACTCCAAAAACCCCACTTTCTGGCTTAGTGCTCTGGGGACATGTCCCACCTAGCTGGGCTTCACAACTTCTCCTGGAGTTGACTCAGTTCCCCTGATACACACCCCCCAACCCCCCTGCTATAGGTAAAGACACTGTGGAACAGAGAGGTAAAGCTGGTGCCAGAGATCACAGAGCTGGGTGGTGTCAGGGTTCAGTCACTGTCAGACAAAGCTGGATCTCAACTCTCTTAAGAGGTTACTGAGCCCTCTGAGACACTAGGCTGGGCATTTTATGTTGCCTAACACTCCTGATCACCCTGTGAAGTAGATGTCATTATTCTCCCAATTTTAAGAATGGGAAAATGCTTCTATCCTGAAGGTCTGAATTAAAGTCCCCAAGGGGTTGTTCAGTCCCTGCACCCATACCTTGAGGGACAGGGTGCCCACCCCTGTCAGGATGAGCCCTGACCTGTGGGAAGGCTTTGCTAGATTCACTTGGGAATGTTGCCCCACCCCCACCCTGTGACTGAGCTTATCTGCTGCCTGCTCCACCGGTCCCTAAGCTCCTGAGCCACTTCTCCAGGAAGCTTTTCCAGATGACACCAGCCTCAACACCTTCCCTTTGCTTGTGAGGACTTCACTCTAGGATTCCTCCCTGACCCCTCTGAGTCCCTAGAATGGTCCTGGGGAAGTCTCCTGACCTCTGATTTAGTCCYCCACTCCATTTTTCTACCAAGTCTCAGCTTGGCCTTGCCTGAGACTCCGGTCCTTGAGACCTGCTGATTCAAGTGGATACTCTGCCTGTGGTGATGTCAGGGTGGGTGTCCATGACTGTGGCATCCTTCTATCCCTACCCTAGGGCCCCTCAGGGTATGACTCAAGAAGYAGGGCTGCCCTGGTCACTGCTCTGCCCAGGGTTCCTGTTGGCCTGGTGAACYTGAGCTCTGGGTCATCTGGCCTGCCTGTCCCACTCTTCCCCTCTTGTGGCAAACTCGCCTCAGGTCCTCTCCTTCTGATATAGGGACTCAGAGGCTGTGTTTTACAATGAGACCCCCAGGAACGTGAGCTCTCATGCTAGGAACTTAGTGGTGGAGTCTGAGGGACCCCCCTGAGGGAGGAAGGAGGCTAACTTGCCCCAATCTTGCCAGCTCTGTGCCCTGATGTCCTCACCTCAGATCTCCCATGTACAACCAGACCAACTATCTTTTGTGCGTCAGAGGCCTTAAAAAAAAAAAAAATCAGAGCAGTCTGCAATCCCAGCTACTAGGGAGGAGGATCGTATGTTCAGGGGCCAGCCCAGGAAACATACAGACCCTGTCTTAAAATAAAAATGAAAAAATAAAAACCCAGGGCAGCTTCCAGTAGGAGGCCCACCTTGGGATGGAGTTCACAGCTTCAGGGGCAGAGGGACCTCCCAAGGAAAGGCCCAAAAGTCTGCTCCTGTCTCCTGCCCCCAGTTTCTTGTTCCAACCTCATACAGGTGACATAGGTATTGTCACCTTCACAGCAACAATGAGTAGAGTCTGAGAGGTGACATGACTTGCCCAAGGTCACACCGCCAGTAATGGCACAGCTAAGACCAGAGTCTGTTCAGTCACCTCAAGCTGACTCCTAGGGCCCCAGAACCCCAAGTTCTCGCCTAGACTAACGGCACAGCTTCAGGCCACAAGGTTCCCAGTGCTGCCCTTCCTGGCTTCGTGACCTGTGGTCACCTAATTGCCCTGTTTCCACACTCTCTTCTATGAAATGGAACTACTAATAATCCTCCATCCTGGCACTGTGAGAACACAGCAATGAGGACAGGCAGTGTCCATGCACGTGGCCTCACTGTTCACTCTCATTCCACCTCAGTGAAACTGAGCAGGGAGCTTCCTGACAGCAGGACGGCCAGGCGGGGCTCTGGGCCCCTCAGCCACCATCCCCTGCCCACGCCTCCTGGCAGGCCTGGCCCAACAGGCACAGGGAGGGTCACAGTCAGGGAGGCTTCCTGAGAGGCAGGGCTGGCTCTGGGCCTGACAGTCGGGAGGGCTGGGGTAACACAGGGAGGCTGACGCTGCAATGCCACTGTTCCTAGCTTTCTCCCTGCTGCAAAACACAGTAGGCTGTCACTCAGCTGTCAGGTAAAGGCACCGAAAATAAGGCCAGCTCCTTGTCACTGCATGGAGCACACTTCTGCACGTGCTCAGACACGGGTGGAGTGCACGGGGTGGGGGGAGACCGGGGAAGCAGGAGACAGACAAGGCAGCTGTCAACCAGATCAGCAGGCCCACCTGTTCTGGGCGGGACAACCCTGCAAGCCCAGCTTCCCTCCAGAGCCCCTCACCCCTCAGTGGAACCTTCATTATATGGGGCCCTGAAGTGGGGAAAGGGGAGGTGGGGACAAGGGATACAGCATGAAGACAGAGGGAGCCTCTCCTCCTAGTGGGACTGGGGCCATAAAAACCCAAAGGCACCCTGATGTACACAGCATGAAGACAGCTAGATACTCATGCAGAGAGAAGCCATAAAGGCAAGATACCCTTGCACAGAGACCAAAAMTGCAGGAAAGTCACCCAGCTGAGGACCAGGCCCTGCAACCCAGAGACCTGAGGCAGTGGAGAGAGAGACACACAATACAGCACAGCACCCGGATGACAGGACCTCTGACCCCACTGGATCCAGGGTGGACCTGGTCAGGGGAGACATGGCAACAGCCCTGGATGCCTACCCTTCCCCCACACTGAGCCAGAAATGGGGACACCACCTTTCCTACTGCAACATGGCATCTCCGAGGTCCAGCCAGGAGAGGATGGCAAGGGGAAAGCAAAGCTGCTACCCACCAGACATGCATATACCTGGGGGTGGGTTGAGGATCAACAGAAGAAGGCTCAGGAGAAGGAGGCTGGAAGACCTTCCGGATCCTGAGCCTGTGGACCCAGGGTACCCCTGGCAACAAATCTGCTTCCATGCTGACCCACTTCACAAGCTGAGTGCCATCAGGTCTTGGCCCTTAGCGCCCTGCCAACCACACCACCTGGTAGGACTCCTCATCTTCCATCTCCTTGCCCTCACTGTAGATCATAGGCCCTACACCCAGTGGCCAGAAGGGTGGGTGACTGATCTGGCCCTGCAAGCCAATATCTGCACATAACTCCCCCAATCCCCTCCGCGGAGGCCCAGGTTCCTGGCTGCCCCTCCCCCTCCCCGTACCTGGGCCTCCCCAGGCTCCTCGGCATCAGCACCGCTGCCGCCCGCGGGCTCTCCGGCGGGCTCCCCGGAGGCGGCGGCCGGGCCCAGGTCGCGCATGTCTTCCAGCGCGATGGTGAACTGGGCCAGGGTCTTCACCATCTGCAGCATGCGGCCGGCCCGCCGCCCGGGCGGGAGCGCCTGCGCGAGCGGGGGATGGTGCGGAGGCTGGGCCCCCTTCCACCCTCGCTCCTCGGCTGTTCAGCCCCGCCGCGGTGGCGGTGGCGGTGGCGGTGCCGGTGTCAGTTCCAGCGTCAATGTGAGCGCGGCGGCGCTGCCGGCGGTGGCGCTGCGGCCTCCTCCGCGCAGGGAGTGCGCCGGCGAGCCCCGCGCGGCGCCGCTGGGGGAGGGGTCCCCGCCCTCGGCCCCCCTCCCGCCTCGGCCCTCTCCGCGCCGCCCCTTCTCCCACAGCACGCCCAGAGCGTCGGCACCTCGCACCCGCCGCGCCCCCACGCTGCACTGACCGCTCGCAGGCGGTCGGTACCCCACAGAACACAAGTCACTCACGCCTGTGGACAAAGGCGAGCATATGCGGCGACACGCACTCTTCGTCCATACTGGTCCCATTGCGGGCACTCATGGAACCCAGATTTACACCACACACACACACAGAGGCAAGCACATACCTTCATGGAACAAGCGGATATGCAAGGAAAGCTGCCCTCTGGGCGTGGTCCTTGTGCAGGATGGGTCAGAGACCAGTGTCCTCACATCAACATACAGTTCAGGTGCCATACCGACCTGAACCCTGATACACAGGGTTTGACCCATTCCTGCACACAGTGGCACTCGCTTCCATTTCCACAACCATGGCAGACAGCACAGAAATAGGCACCCATGGCAGGCAGAGACAGGCAGGCCTGTGTGCAGCACATACACATCCCTGGAAACTCCACACTGGTTAAAGGCCCAAGGGAGGAGCACTTGAGTGTGACAGAGGGGGATTACCACTGAAAGGGTAGTGGTACCTACCCCACCCCATCAATTTGGTCTCTGCCCTGTACTTAGCACAGTTCTGAAGAATTCCAGTCCCCTCACTCTCCACCAGTGAACTCCCACTGGTAAGGGACTCTGGCACTTACATCCCTCACCCCTCTACTGGACTGTGCTCCCAGATATCTCCAAGCACAATCATCAGGGCTGCTTTCTCAAATCCCAACATCAGACCAGATCCAATCCCAGACCCCCTCAAGCAGGACAACTCTATTTTTGTGCCAGCTTCCATACCCCACTGGGAGTGGTTTCTGATGCAGCCTGCAGTGGTGTCTCAGCCCTGGCTAACTTCACCTCTCTCCATCTTGGTACACTGGGGGCTCCCACACTCACCAATCTCCCAGGTGTCTCCTTTCCCAAGCCTGCTTTCCCCTG